CATGTTTAATCAATATTTTTTTCTCTCTCCAAGTGTTGGTGATAATATTCTATCGATGTTTTTCAGTTTTCACGTCGTTCATGGTTAATTGGTTCAGCTTCTTACGCCACGGGTGGCAATTGGTTTTCCCGTAAGACTTGAAACCCTTAACCAACATGTTGCATTTCCTTGAGATCAAGCTAATTCTTAGGCTCTATATTTCATTATTGGAGAGGCTAATTTAATGCGGAATCGACCAAAATACATTTTTCCTTTTTCCATACTTGATAGATCATAGATCTTGAGTCTGAAAAACTAGGGGCTAGGGTTGGCAGCCGGAATGCGGGAGCGAGTAAGTTGTTTATGGACTTGAACTGAGTTGGGTTAAAACTTAAAAAACCGGGCTACAAATATTGAGAAGCGGGTACGATCTCAACTTCGGTAGTGATCCTCTTTTGGGTCGGTTCCCAAGGTAAAATTCAGATCCAGGTCCTAACGCAACTCTTTAAATGCACCTTACCTACAGCTAAAATGAGCTGCAGGGATACTTATCTACAACTTGGCAGGGGAATTCAGTCTGGCCATTAATAACGAGGGCAGGCCAACAATAGAACTTTCGAATTGAAATTTTGTCTTGCCCATCACATACCCATGGCTTGATCATTAACAAATCTCAGTGACTTTTCAATAGCTCTATAGTTGATGCTCTTCAGTTCTGTTTCGGTGCGTCCATTTTCCATCCATTAACTACTTTATAATCTCACGACAAGCTGCAATTGATGCAGCGACCCAGGGAAGAATGATCAAAGTGTCCGTCCCAATTTGTCGAAGGTACACCCAATCTCATAAATTTCCACCAACATCACATGTCTTCTCAATATTTGCCATCTACCATTGATGACAGAAACCAAATATACCATCTTTTCTGCTCCTCTCGTCCCCTCTATCAAGTGGACTCAGATAAGTAAATAAATACGCCGACTGGTTAGCTCACCAAGCCTCCAATAATAATTTAGATATCATTATTCTTGACGACCCACCCTTTAAGAGTGCAGAAACCTTTGAAATCTGTCTGATTTTCTGTCTCATTGCTTCGGAGTACATGCTTCATAAGGCAACCTTAGCTTTTCAATTCGGCTTCTTCACAATCATGACTTAGCACAGGCAGAGCCCATGCTGCATAACTCATCATAACTATAATTTCTTGTACGGAAGCCTGCCTTTGCAAATTAGCATACTATTTTTGTTTAATTACATGGAAATATAAAAGAAAGACAGAAGCGGGGATCAGCACCTGAAGCGAAGCAAGATGGTAATGTTTTGAAATCGATGAAGAGAAACGTTTAATATATATTGATTGTTTTAAATATTGGGTGGGTAAATAATCAAATATGGACAGTTTAATTAATCCAATTATACTCCTCCAGTCCGATAAGACCCATTTAACTAATTTGATTAAATTAAGGAAGTTAGGTAAGTTAGTTAATTATAAGAAATATGACACGTTTGTCCTAAAATACCATAATTATCTTTCTTAATACCCACTCTTCCTCTCTTACTTGATTATGGTTGAGGGAGTATCTATAGGGGTAATTTAGAGAAAATTGATAAATATGATAAATGGGTCTTATATTTAGGATCAAAGTTAATTCAATAATTGGTTCCTATATTATGAACCGAAGGAGTAGATAAATAATATAAATTTGTCGTTTAAAAGAAAACACGTAACTATAATTGAGTGTTTTATTTGAAAATATTAATTTTTTATTTGATGTGTTTGTAGTCAACTTAATCTCTCTTATTTTCCACAGATGCCTATAATTCTTTGACGGAAAAAAAAATTCACTTAACTTCCCTTGAACGATCACCGTGACTGAAGCCGAGGGAGATGCTCTATATTTTCATCAAATTTTAGTCGAATAGTTTGGTTGCCATGACATCACTATTATGTCAATTTAATCATTTCAAAATTGTGATAATCATGCTATCTTAACCTTAAACTTGCGGTGAACTCAAAATGACGTTGCACAAGCTACCACTCGCATAAAGACTTGAGATTTTAACCCAAAAAAGGGAAAAGAAAAAAGGGAAAAAAAAAAAGCCCTATGGTTTGTAATGGATAAAATCAAGGTCATAGAGAAGGCGAGCATAATTAAATGTTAATGCAAGGTAAAAAAATAACGATGACTAGTCTGCATCTTATCCCAAAGTTCCTTTGAGGCCTTCTACGTGACAGCTGCGCTAATTTGGTTTGTCATAACAAAGAAGCTGAAGAAAAGGACTAACATAGCAAAATGAGCAGTTTGCATAGGTCATGTCTTGTCTGGTGATTAGGCTTAGGAGACTCTTCAAGCTACCAGCATTATTTGGCTGTTCTTGTTTGTTTTTGATTAGTTCCTTGTCACTAAAAAGAAGAAGAAGAAGAAAAGGACCAAGATGGTAAGATCAATGCGACGTATTTGTGAGTGCCTCGTGTCCTTGTTGTATTATACGTTTAAATTATATTGGTGGGGGTGTGGTTAACATATGGAATTGATAAAAAAGCTGATTAAGGGGATGAAACTAGGGACAAATCCATGGGGAACGGGAAAAAAGCTTCTTTTTTTTGGGGGGGGGGGTCTACAGGAGCCATGTTATCAATTTAATTTGAATTGTGGAAGAACGTTTGGGAATGACCAGGGAGTTAATTTTGGTCAATTTAAAAAAAAAAAGATTCAAGCTTTAATTCAAGATCAGTGGTTTGTATTAGTTGGATCTCAGATGCTCTCATGCTTTAAGCAAAAGCAATCGCTTTTGTTCCAACAGAAGTGCACCGCAAGGTATGAGTATGACAGCAAGTTAGGCACACTTTCAAAAACAAAGAAACCAGCAGCCATCCTCTGAAATCCACCTCCTTTATTCTCCTTCCATGCCCCACCATGATCACAACAAAACACCCTTTATACATATATATATATTCAATTCATTTGGAGGGAAAAAAAAAAAATCCCCACGTTTGGTGATTTAAAAACACATGCTTTATCCAAATATGGGTTTCGAAAGGGTATTCTATATCACTAACTTTTGCTCATTGACCTTCAACGGATGAAGCAAAGAAAAGCAAGAGACAACAAGGAGGACACTGGGAATATAATAATATAATATTACAGAATCATTATATTAAGCAGCGCATCGGTGTCGTCATCATATACAGATTCATTATATATTAACATAAAGTACACTACTGGTGAGGTGTTGTTAATTAGAGCCGTGTCTACTGATCACCTAAGTATGATAAGGATTCATTGTCCATTATCATACAAAATTGGGTAAGATGTCGTGTTGGGCGTGAGAGGCAATACTCACTTCTACCAAGTGTTGATCAATTATGAGAGCCGGAAATCCTCATTTTAATTTTGGACATTAATTTGGAGTTTTGCTTTGTGAGGCATTCATTGTGAAATAGTATGGGACAGGGCAAAGGGGTATGAAATTTATGAAGCATCTTTATAAACTAGTCAATTGGTACCCTTCCCAACAGATTCTTTATTCATGTTCCTCTCTCTCTCTCTCCTTTTTTCTTTTTTAAAATGAAAAGCAGAGCATAACATCGCCTCTCCACTGGAATCATAATTGCAGTGTCTGTATTTTAGCTCTCTTAAAAGAGCAGAATGGAATTAATTAATAAGAGAAATAACCAAAGATGTTGCATATCTGTGACTTGTTTAGCTTTGAGGTCAGGTGGTGGCCAACAAAACAATGCTCGCAATCACAATTTATTTCCAGAGGAAGGAAACTGTGTTCATGTGCTTGAGCACAGAGGGAACTTTAACTTCTTCTTTTTTTTCCCTGGGTATAACAGTAAAATATTATAAAAATTGATTTTCTTCTTAACTTACAGCATGACTAACAGATATTCTAAGGAACCCATGTAAAAATTAAAATTCATACTGAAATATTGAACAAGGTGTTTATGAAATTATAAAAAGGATTTGGAGAGATTCAGGTCAAAAAGAGAAATTTGGAGAGATGAACACAAAGCAAAACATGATAACAGAGAAAGGAATCCACGTAAGCATGAATAACTTAAAGGGAAACTATGACTTTGGAAGATACCCTCAACCTCAGGGATGGATACGGCCTAAATTGCCGTCCCAGAGAAGCCATCCACGTGGTCCCAGCTTACCAGTTAATTATTATAAAATACTACTTTATAATATCTATTAAAAATCTAATAAACGTTCATGTACTTGAATGCCCTTGGATTAGCCGTCAAATTACGTTCATTTGCCATTCCCACGATGTCAACCGTCTCTGCCAAAACTGATTTGTTCCGTTCCCTTTAATGATTTACGTTGATGAAAGCACAGGAGATTTTCTTGCAACTTCGGGGGAATGAAGAGAGCTAATATTAGATTATGATGGGTTAACCTCCGTAATGATTAAAGTTACTGCATAACCACACATGGAGTAGCAAAACATGGACGCGGTCCTTTGATAAGGTTCATTCATTCTCCGTCCCCTTGTTTTGACTTTTTGATCCTCGCCATTTCTCTCACCTTCAAATTGTTACATTATGCGCGTCGTTGCAATTAGTTAATTCTCATTATATTTCCTTAATTATTACTATTACTAAAAATGATACTCTATAATGATAACAGTTAATTAACGCTGATGTTAATTAAATTATTAAATATTAAATACATGATTAAATGCTTGGTGATTAAAGAGGTGTTTAGATAGAATCAAAAACATGATTTTAAAAGTACTTTTATGGTGTATAAAATAAATATGTAGAGAAATTTATCTCGTTTTATTAAAAAGTGATTCTGAAAAGTGTTTTTAGATGCTTCTAAACACCTTTTAAATTCAAACCCGTGAGCCGGTTTTTGATTAGACGCAACTGGAAATTAGCAGCAACAGCGAGGGCATATGGGTCTTTCAAAAAAGGCCCGAAGTTCGCCGTAGCCGTTTAATAATTTTGAAAATATTATCTCTAGTAATTTTTCCGCGACAGATTCTCACATTTCCTCAAAGTATATCCTTGAAGGCGTACTCTCGTGGAAGCCCTGCCATTATCGCCAAACCCATTTCTTCTTCACTGGGATACACACGAAGCGAAATTAGGAGAGCGTCCGGCTATCTTAATTGATTTGGGGCTTCTCCTTTTCATCTGCTTTCAGATCTGATCGCAATCCTACTAATCTCGAACCGCTGATCTCGATCCCATTCATACTGCGCTCCTCGTTTTCACTGCGTACGTTATTTAAGGTACGCATAATTGATTAAATTTAACACCCTCCCCCCCTCCCTGGGGCTGTACCTCATGGAGTTTTCGGTTAAATTCTGAAACTTGACTCAGTTGAATCGCAGATTTGGTGGATTCTGTTTCGAGCATCACTTTCATGCTCCTCATTGAATTCCATTTTCCCTTCAGTTGTGAGTATTCCTAATTTCCTTCGGACTTCGTTTGATGTGTATTTTACTTTTCCCTTTTTATGATTTGTGTTGGCAATATTTTTTTGGGTGAAGGTTGTGCATAAACAGATCTTGAAAATTGGCGCCCCAACGACGTTCCCAGCGCCACATGGGTGGCCAGATGCAGCAGAGCAATGCTGCGGCGACTGCTCTGTATGACCACGCTGGCAGTGGGCCTTTGCACAATGCAGGGCCTGCCGGTGATGCGGGTGATGCGGTCATGGCTCGGTGGTTGCAGTCCGCCGGTTTGCAGCATCTGGCCTCTCCGTTGGCTTCTAATGGTATCGATCATCGCCTCCTCCCCAACCTTCTAATGCAGGTACTCATTTTGCGGAAATAGAATTTCTTTACATTCTCATTTGTAACGCACTGGTAAATTGTTGTCTTCTCTGTCGATTTTTTTCCCCTTTGAAAAAAGATCATACTCGTTTACCCCCTCTTTCAATTTTTCAATCTAATTGTATTATTGCAGGGTTATGGGGCACAATCGGCTGAAGAAAAGCAGAGGCTCTTTAAGTTGATGAGAAACCTCAATTTTAATGGGGAATCTGGTTCAGAGCCGTATACACCCTCTGCCCAAAGTTTTGGTGGAGTACCTGCATCCGATGGGTTTTTTTCTCCCGAGTTCAGGGGGGATTTTGGAGCTGGGCTCTTGGATCTTCATGCAATGGATGATACAGAGCTTTTATCTGAGGTATGATTCATATTTTGGTACAGTGCTGTTTATCTCTTGTCTGAGGTATCGGGATCAATCTTCTGCCCACTTGTTTGGGGGGGGGGGGCTTTGATACGATGTTAAGAACTACTTGGTAGAAACAGTTAAAGATGTTAGTTTTAGGAGAAGGACGGGGAATTTTTTTTCCTCAGTTTTTTTTTTTTTTGGTGTGATTGAAAATGGTAGGAATGAGAAACACCCAATCCTATTGAGCAAGGCACCACTGGCATGCTACGGATAAGCCCATGGATGGTTTTATTACATCCCAGCAATGCTCATTGTGCCCATCCATTTCTGAATTTATTATTGTTATTTCTTCTCACGCAGGTAGTTTAAGTGTCTGCACTTGCATATTTTGTTTTGGTTCTGATTTCTTCTCTTGTCAGCATGTTATTTCAGAACCTTTTGAAGCATCGCCCTTCATGCCTGGAGGTGCTAGAGTAGTTGAAGACAGTTTCAATCCGGTAAACAGCAAGCAAGAAAGAGGAGAAGATGTAGATGCATCAGTTTCATTACCAACGAATGAAAAAGACAATAATGCAAGGGAAAATAATGTTGCAAAGATTCGAGTGGTGGTACGTTTTATTGGATGACATCATCTATGTTTCTTAATTACTTGAGTCTTCCTTCGGTTAACTTTTCTTATATGAAAAAATTGACTTCTTGTCAGGGGGAAAAAAAAAAAATCGACTTGTTTCAGATATGATGCTCGCATAGCAGTATTTTCTTTTTCTTTGTAGTTTGATTAGTTTGGATTAAATTTAATAGTTGATTTTGAAGTTCATCATGGTTGTTAGGCTATAGTGAGGGCTCGGATGATATATTTCTACAACAGCAACAAAAACAGCTATTGCTGCTGCTAGTTTCGCCATTATTCTCCCTGGATAATAGTTCACCAAAATTTACAGCATTTTTGTTGAGACATTAATTGGCAAAATGAACTTTAATTAAAAATTCCATAATTGAACATTACAAAATTCAATTTTTAATTCATGAGCATTTGGAATTTGAAATATTAATAATTATATATATTTTTGGTTATACTGAAATAGTTATAATTTTAATTATAATAATAGTTATTCTTCTCTAAGTTTTGAAATATATGTTCTTAATGTTTGTTTTAGGTCCGCAAAAGACCTTTAAACAAGAAGGAGCTTGCTAAGAAGGAGGATGATATTGTAACTGTGTATGACAAAGCATATTTGACTGTCCATGAGCCCAAACTAAAGGTTTGATTTTGTGAAGCAAACTATCAAAACCATGCAGCTAGATGATAATTGCTTGACACAGAAAATAGTAATGTTTTTTTTTTGGGTGATATTTTAATTCTTCTGCTGTTCTAAGATTAGATTGTTTCTCTGTCCTGTAAGGTTGATTTGACAGCTTATGTAGAGAAGCATGAGTTTTGTTTTGATGCTGTTCTTGATGAGCATGTTACGAATGATGAGGTAAGGAAGCTGTTGCCAAAGATTTAGTTTACTGTCATTATAATATGGTCTTCTTGATTGTCATTTGTCTTGATAACTGTTACTGGCATTTACTGCATTTACAATCCATTGCTTCTCCTTGTCTTCTTGGTTTTGGTTAGTTAGATTGAATCACAATTTGCATGCTTTGCACCAAAACAGGTGTATCGGGAAACAGTGGAGCCAATTATTCCTACAATCTTTCAGCGTACCAAGGCAACGTGTTTTGCTTATGGTCAGACAGGTGAAGAATCTCTTAAGTCCTCTTCGTATACTAAATACAGCCCATTATAATTGCCATTGGTATCTGATTTTGCATTGAAATCATTGTAACTCTGCAGTATTATCTATCCATGCATGACTATCCCCCCAATTCTTGTTATGTCCTGGTGGCATGTTATGCATCTAAGGAGTCGTTACTGGTTATAGATGTGTTCAGTAACTGAGCATTTGCATTGAGCCTCAGTGGAAACAGAAAGCAAGGAGGCTCGCTCAATTGTGTTTCTGACAAGTGTGTTTTATGTGGACCAATTTATTTAACATTTTAGATTTTCATAAATGACGTAACCCGTTGGAAGGCTATTAATAGCCTTTACCTAAACTGAGGAGGTGATTGTATTTGATGGTAGATGCAGTTACACGTGATGCATGGTGCGAACTGTCAATCTGACTTTCAAACAGATTATGCACCTTTTAAAAAGGAATTTGTAACGGTTGGAACTATATAAACTTGTCATCCCTTTCAACTGATGTTCTTTGTTTCTCAAAGTTTCATTTATGCATGTAATTCTTAGTGTTCTTCTTTCAGGAAGTGGTAAAACCTACACAATGCAACCGTTACCACTCCGAGCTGTGGAAGACCTTGTTAGACTGTTGCATCAGCCTGTTTACCAAAACCAGAGGTTTAAATTGTGGCTTAGCTACTTTGAGATATATGGTGGAAAACTCTTTGATCTTCTGAGTGACAGAAAGTGAGTATTTCTTATGTATCGTTTTTTGAAATATTTTATTATGATTCGATTGTTCATATTAACACACTTGCTGTACTTGATTAAATACACAGATAATTTTGATGAAGGTGATATTACAGCTTGTATTCAAGCATTCAGGGTGCCTTTAAGATCTTGTATCGAAATGACCACTTCAGTTTTGTGATGAGGAAATTAATTAGAATATGACGTTTTTAACTTTTGAACCAAGGTGTCAACCTATTTACCCAAGTCACTTTAATCACTTCAATATCTAGCATAAGCGTGCATTTTTCTATTTCTTGTTTATGTGCGTGTTCATGAATCAATATCCATTTTCGTCAGCCAAAATGCATAGACATTTATCCTTTTCTTTTAGAATGCATTGATCTGTAAGCTGTGCGCACTTTTGGCTATAAACTGTTAATGAATTGTTGCATGATTTTTTTTGTTTTTCTTTGAATAGAAAACTTTGCATGAGAGAAGATGGACGACAACAAGTTTGCATTGTAGGGTTGCAAGAATTTGAAGTTTCTGATGTACAAATTGTCAAAGAATTCATTGAGAAAGGGAATGCTGCCAGAAGTACAGGATCCACTGGTGCTAATGAAGAGTCCTCCAGGTCACATGCTATCTTACAATTGGCTGTGAAGAAGCACAGTGAGGTGAAAGAGAGTAAACGGAACAATGATGGAAATGAGGCAAAAATTGGGAAGGTTGTGGGGAAAATTTCGTTTATTGATCTTGCTGGAAGTGAAAGAGGTGCTGACACCACTGACAATGACCGTCAAACTCGGTACTTTTTCTACTTTTAACAAAAATATCTGATTAATTTTTCCCTTTTGTCAAAAAAGCAACTACCACTAGCGTTGCTATATGGAATTGATTTGCATATGTCCCCCCCCCCCCCAAAAAAAAGCAAAAAGAAAAAATTAACGTGCTGCCGTTTTCTTGCAATTGGTGTAAACAAGGATAGGCATTACTTCCTGTCTGTTTCCACTTGCTTTATATAGTAACAAATCTCTTCATGATACAACGTTATGCATTATTTACTCTTCAGGATCGAGGGGGCAGAAATCAACAAGAGCCTTTTGGCTCTGAAGGAGTGCATTCGTGCCCTGGATAATGACCAGATTCATATTCCATTTCGTGGAAGCAAACTCACAGAGGTGCTTCGTGACTCATTTGTTGGCAATTCCAAGACTGTTATGATATCTTGTATATCTCCAAATGCTGGATCTTGTGAACACACACTCAATACATTAAGATATGCAGATCGGTATGTACTTCCCCATAGTATTGACTGCAACAAGTTAATGACTGGGCAGTTCCCTACATTGTTCTTGTCTGTATTTTTTAAGTGATTGGTCATTAAATATGAGCAGGGTTAAAAGTCTATCAAAAAGTGGAAATCCCAGGAAGGATCTGGCCTCAAATCCTGTACCACAAACATATAAGGAGGTTTCTTCCATATCAGTTCCAGCAAGTGCTTGTTCAGAGGACGTCAATGATCAGCGTCAAGAGGTGAAAACAATGGATATAGGCAGAAGATTGGTGGACAAGGAAGTTCGTTTATACAGCTCTGCTGCTGACGTTGACAAACAGCCTTCAAATCTTCCATCTAGTTATATGTTCAATGGGCGAGAGGAGAAAGGCGTGGCTTCTGCTTCAATGGAGAGGGAAAGGTCTGAAGTGAAGAATTCTGTTAGTGATGCTATCAGCAATCAGAAGATGAACTCTTATTCTCAAACCACAATTGATATAGATGACAAAGTTCAGAAAGTATCTCCTCCTCGTAGAAAACCTAAAGAGAAGCCAGAAAGATCTACAAACTGGCTGAAAAGGGATGCTAATGGTCCTGATCTCTCGACAGCAAACTCCAAGCAGCAGACCACTGGGAATTATAGCACAACTACTATTGGATCTAGGCAATCTGAAATGGAATTATCTCCTGATGGGAATATCAATGCAATACTTGAGGTTCAACTAAGTGGAATTACTCTTTCTTTGCCAATGTTCGGTTGAATGCAAAACTCATCCATTCTTTCTGTTAAAATCTTAATTTAATTTTGCAGGAGGAAGAGGCATTGATTGCTGCTCATAGGAAAGAAATAGAGGACACGATGGAGATTGTTCGCGAAGTAAGTGGTTGCTTTTTCTTATAACCAGATGAGTCTGTAGTAATTGCTTGTCATGTATCATCAAATAGAAAAGTTAAAGGCGTATAATTCCTCTCGTCTTAAGCTATTGCCAACAGTTTTCGAAAGTTATGCATCCGTCTCGTCTTTATATAGTATTAGACAGGCACATCAAACCAGTGGAGAACCTTTTGAAATGCTGCAGGATTCTTAATGAATGCTGCTCCGTGCCTTTTCCCTTGGATTCTCATACTAGAAAATCTCCCCTATTATTAATACCTTGTTGAACATCTCTGAGAAATTACTAAATTGGCATGGCATTTTCAAAATATTACTTTTTTTTTTTGGGGCCCCCCACCCCCCCGGGGGGGGGTGTTGGTTTACCTTGGCATGTTATTACTGGCTGCTGTGTCCTGCTGATGTTGGTGCTTATCTAATTATTCCTTCTGGTTTCTCAGGAAATGAAGCTATTGGCAGAAGTGGACCAACCAGGAAGCCTTATTGATAACTACGTAGCCCAACTGAGCTTTGTGCTCTCTCGCAAAGCAGCTAGTCTGGTTAGTCTTCAAGCTCGTCTTGCGAGATTCCAACACCGACTAAAGGAACAGGAGATACTAAGTAGAAAAAGAGTACCTCGCTAAGAGACTCGGTTTCTGTTATTCAACACCGAGTTGTATGTCATCAAATGTAATTTTTCACATGCTTGTTAGCGATTTTTTTTTAAAATAATAAACAAATCATTTGTCGGATATTCAAAGTAAATTGCCTTACATGTAAATTTGTCGCTAGTGATATGATGGTGGTCCCCATGCAGTTGCCAAGTTGAAGCAATGTATGAATGTGCGCCCCTGTGACGTTAGTTTGAGGGCGGCACAGGAAAAATGAAACTACAGAAATATAACATCCACTTGTTTCTTCCTCTCTTTCTTTTCTTCTCCTCCTCCTCCTCCTCCTCTTTCTCGAGCGGTGCCTCTTTTTTTTTTGTGCCAACGAAAACTATTTTTGTCAAGAGTGAGTTATATTGTTTCAAGCATACAACCCTCGCTTTAAGCTTTCACACACCACAAACATACACTGGGGTTCATCTTACCTGTTTTTCGTCACGTAATTTTAGTTTGAAAATTGTAGGTAGCCAGTTACTTGTCACTCAAAATCGTTGCATGTCTTCTAGATAACTTCGACGCTGTAAGTAGTGATTTTATTTACTGTCTGTAGAGTGTTATACGTCACATCAGCCTCTCGTGACTATGTAAAAAGGTTAAACACCGAATGGGATTCAGAACCAAAACATTCTGCGAGTAATAATGCGGCACAAGACATGGGATAAGAAGAAGCATGGATAACAAGGGCGGTCCTTTGCCTGACAGGTTGAAAGTTAGTGGCCCCATCCTAGGAGACTGTAACAAAAGTTTGTCTTACATTTCATCTTTCTTTAGTTCTGCCGGTTAATGAATTGTAAGAAACTTAACACCTTGGGCGATAATTTGGATCCCTGAATACCATCGTCCTATGCAAAACTGCAGACTGATGATGTCTCCGACATTGGCAGCTTATTCAAAGAAACATGAATGTGGCGCGCTGGCAGAGTCAAAGCATGCATAATGATTAAAGAGGATTCATAACTAACATGATCTGTTAGAGTACTCCTGGACCAATGCACCAAAAAGTGAGGGCCTTTCCAGCAATCTCTCCGGCCTATCAAATTCCTTTGCATATCCTGTCAAGATACAGACGCGATTAGTTTATGCTTATATGACTGAACAAAACTGTTGCAGTAGACAGCAGTGCCAGATGATTACCTGCATCTATAACCAGAACCCTATCACAATCCATAACAGTGGGTATTCTGTGAGCAACACTGAGAATGGTACATTTTTTAAAGTCCTCCCGGATGATCTTCTGAATTACAGCATCAGTTTGGGAATCAACTGATGCTGTTGCCTCATCCATGAATAGTATTTGGCTGCGTTTCAGCATTACCCTTCCCAAACATAACAGCTGCCTCTGCCCCACACTCCAATTGTCTCCGCCATCCACCACTGCAAAATTCATCCCCATGCTATTATTATAATTACTACTACCATCATCATCATCATCTACCTCTCAACTAAATAATACAATCACATTGAATTAAGATTAATTGCTGAGAGGATCGAGACCTGAAGCATCCAGTTTCTCGGTCTTTGCAGCCACTACGTCCTTCAGTTGGCACCGCTCGAGGCTCTGCTTCAACAAAGCTCGAACATGTCATGCAATGAAGAATGTCATAAGAACATATTAAATTATGCTGGGTGTGATTAATACCTTCCAGATTTCTTCATCGGAATACAATTCATTTGGGTCTATGTTGCTTCTTACAGTTCCTTCAAAGAGAACAGGCTCTTGTGGAATGATACCAAAGCGAGACCTGAGATCATGAAGTCCCAGGGTGCAAATGTTGATGCCATCGATCACTATTTTCCCATACGAAGGCTCAACCAGTCTGAATAACACCTGCACTAGCGTTGATTTCCCACTCCCAGTACGCCCTACTATCCCAATCTTCTCTCCTCCTTGAATGCTTAGCGTGATTCCCTTCAGAATGAGCGGTGTATTTGGCCGATACCGAACCTGCTCGCCATATTTACACATAACTGGAGATGCTATAGTTTACTCTAATCTTAATTGATGTCTATACAATAGTAATATTGTACAGATAGTGTAACAGGCAAGTGTCATATAAAGGTTTCAAATGGCTCCCAGGTCCAAACTGATTTGGGTGGAGTTTACCTGCAAATCATGTAACTTGATGCAGCCATGAGTGGGCCAATTGTGCGGTGGAAGGCCATCAGGGATTCTCCATGGAGATTCTGGTGTAATATTGGAGAACTGCTTTATTCTTTCGACTGAAACCATTTTGTTCTCAACTTGGCAAGTCAAAGTTACGGAAATTGCCATAACACCACTCAGAGTCAGGCCATAGGATAGAGACAAACCAACATATTCTGCAATACCAAAATGGCATCACTTCGCTGAGAGACCATTGTTGTTGCCAATAAAAATTCTTGCATCTTAACCATGATGAGGCCTTCAGCTTAAAAAAGAACTTAAAAAAAAAAAAGAAGATGAGCCCTGAGGATGTACCTGGCTTCATGATAGCACTTGGCAAAAAGATCATAAGCATTGTGGCAATGCAAAGGAAAACCACTCCAAGCAGGTCTAAGCGGAAAGCAAGCCATTCATATGATCCATTGTTGTGGAATTCCATCCTCAAGTTTGCATTCACCCTATTTATATTTTCTTCACAAAATGCGCCTTGTTTCCTAAAGCCACGGATTGTCATGACACCAGAAATGGTCTCTGAAAATTGATGAATCACAGGAGCTTTTGCAATAGAATCAAGCCGAGTCAATTCCCGAGAAGATGCAAGGTAATATTTCTGCAAAGTACAAAATCAAGTTCACGGGTTGAATAAACTTAAAAATTCTGTAGTACCTCGGCAAATTCTGCACAAATAAATCAACAGGTCAGTTCATGTATCCTACCCGGTACCAGTTGTTGAGCCAAATCAATGGAAGAATAAGGAAGACAATCTCCCAAGCATTTTGGCAAGTGACGAAGAAGATGCTAAGTAATGAGAGGTACGTCATCATGACCATGCCGATGAACATCGGAATTACTATATCGATAAAGAGTTGATCCGCAGACATCTACACAAGCCCAAGACAAAAGATAGTAAGTCCAACAGCATTTTTATTATGGAGAATGCAAGCTCATCTTGTTTCCTAGCAAATATTAGAAGTTGAAGGAAGTTGTAGACTCACACGACTAAGAATTCTGCCAGAAGGAGTGGTATCAAAGAATGACATTGGTGCGTGGAGAATACTTTGAAGCATTCCAGTGAAGAAGCTCTGAGCTGTCTTTAGACCCCAATGTGTTACTACGTACGATCTGATTATGACCATTATGCATGAAATAACTCCAATACCGGCGTACACGCCAATGAATAGAGTGGGATTAAAGGAGCGATCTTTTGAAGTTTCAAATGCCAGCCAGTAGTCTCCAGCCATCATAGCTGCAGTCCAAATTAGAGTCATTAGCAGGACTACTGCTACTCCCCACCATCCATATGCTTCGGTGCAATATTGTTTGTATACTTGGAAATTGACTCGGCCGGTTTCTTTCTCCTCATCTTCAATGAGCTTTGATGTTCCCTTATCAGAATCAGACTTGTCTTCCTCTTGGGAGTTTATTTTCTCACTGCTTTCCCCTTGTTTTGAAGGTGGACCAGAAGCGCAACCAGATGTGTCAGTCCTTTCTACAAGTTCCATAGAGGCTTCGTGAGCAGCCACAAGTGCGCCAAAATCCAGGCCAGATTCCAGAAGTTCTTTGTACTTTCCGCGTTGCACGATCTTCCCATCTCGCATGACCTTTTTGTTGGCACCACGCAAGTTCAAGTTTAGCAGTTGAAACAACTTGAGTATAAGGTCGGTTATTTCATAATATTTTTAGTTCGTGCTTAATTCAAGAAAATTAATGTTATCATACCAAGGGATGATTTTGATGGAATACAAGTAATGCATCTTTCCATAAACAACTACTGCGTCGTGAGTTTTCTAGTCATCAGTAAGATGACTTTTGTGGAAATAAACTATGCTGAAAAGTTGAAGATATAGATTTGAGAGACTTGCGAGGGTATACGTACTGCTATGAGGTCCACATTATGCAAGAAGTCAACTTGGTGGGTTACAAGGATAATTGTCTTGTCCTTGAGAGCTCCCATAAAACATTCCTGCAACAAATTAGACCGATCAATACCTTTCATTATTTGTCATCGTATTGGTGGCACTAACAGTTTATGCATGAACCCAACTTTGAGTTTCATGTATTTGTTGTCAGGTTTTTTTTTTTTCATTTTTTATTAATAGGCCTTCGTTACCAGATTTCTTATAAGGAAAAACGTATGTTGAGTGTCAGGAAAAATAAATAAATTAGAAAGTTTAAGCACCATATAATCCCACTCTCTGCTATATGGGGCTTCATACCTCATATCGTTGTTTCATAAAACAGCATTATATTAGGAACACCAAAAAAAGATCCATCATTTGGATTGACCCAGATTGTGGAACCTCAGTTACGACTATTCATTACGCGAACGGACGTCACATTTTATAGGACCAGCAGTACGTAACCAACATAAAAGAGCATGATATACAGCTCTAAGATATTGAAAGCGTGTGCGCCAAAGAAGCGATAGAAATATTTGAGGAAAGTTGAGCTGAAGCCTAGCTGACCTTAAAGATAAAGGTTCCAGTTTGAGCATCAACGGCACTAAATATATCGTCAAGGAGATAGATGTCACAGTCCTGATACACAGCTCTAGCAAGTTGTACGCGTTGCTTTTGGCCACCGCTGAGGTTTATACCCCTTTCTCCAATCTCAGTCTGGTCTCCATGTTCTAACATCTCAAGATCCTTTTCCAGGCAACACACTCTGATGGTTTCCCGGTATTTCTCCCTATCCATCGGTAATTCAAACAATATGTTCTCTTCAATCGTCGCATTCCGGATCCACGCAGTCTGTGCTACATAAGCTGTTTTCCCACCTACTCTGACCTATAAGAATTTGATACATGTAAATAAAATTCCTTTTATGGCATCTGAAAAACACAATAACTAGTTTCTTTGTAAATGTGTAATGAAGTAGAAACTAGGAGAGTAATGACGTAATTTTATGCTTTAGTCTACAGATTTTTTTTTTTTTTTCCCGAAGGACAAGGCTTTAGGCCTTCCGAGGGACAAAATTTTATATCTGCTCCTAATTTGGATTCTTATATAACATGGACACCAATGATGCCACGGAATCTTCCATAAGTCAGGCATGCAACAATGGGAGAGTAAAATTGAGCGCAAACAAACCTGTCCTGAGATCTTGTGCATT